AACAACAAGTTCAGGTGCTAATACTGTAAACGCATCACAGATTTGGTGGTTAGTAGTTCTTTTTTATAGCAATAGCATCTAATGTAATTCAGATTTCTAACTAAATGTCCTATTTCAGGCCTGCTCAGGTGCATTCTATCAGGATAGATGCTAGCCCTTACCAGGTCACTTGTAAACCTGGCTACAGACTTCTCAGGAGGTGGCACTGTGAAAAACTTTGCTTTGGGGGCGGAGGTGATGGAACGGAGCTCAGCCTACAGCTTTGCTATAGCGAAGGCTGCAGTGCACCAGGCTGAGGAGGTACCTGGCACAGGTAGGTAGCAGGCTGTCCTGCAGCAGCATGCCAAGCAGAGATGTGCAGTTGGTCTGTCCCAACCTTTGAGGCTTCATGGTGAGTAAGTGCTGAAAGAGCCCAGGCCTGTGGGGTCCTGTGGCCCCAATGGTGAGATGCTAACGTGGCAACGAGGAGGTGATGGCCACTGGGGGCTGTACTGTGGCACAGGCATGGTGGGGGGGAGGAAAAGGGAGGAGGCACCTCGGAACAAAGCCACCAGCGAAGGGGGTTTGTGCACAGAAATCTCAGCCTGCCGCTTCCTGCATGCAAAAACGCAGTCTCAGCAGCACCGAAGCGGTCTGTGCACACATGCCAAACTTGTCATTTATAAAAACTCAAAAAAAGCTCTGACAAATGCTGAAGCTGTTAGTTTTGACACTTCTGACATGAAACACTTTGATTTTTTCACTTTGAAACTACTTTGTGTTCAAAATGTCCTTTAATTTTATTTTCAAGCAAGGGGGGGGGGGGGGGGGGGGGAGGTGTCTTTTTTTCTTTTTTTTTTAATTCCCTAAAAATCAAAACTGAAAGGAAATCTTTGGATTGACTCGAGAAGAAATTGTGCCTGGATTTCTGCTCTCACCGGGCTCACCCTTACATGCTCAGGTTTGGCTTTGAGTCACCCTTTTTTCCCCTAGATTTGCCGGTTAGGTTATCGAGGGCTGCAGAGAACGTCAGCCCTGGCTCAGCTGAACTATTTTTTTGGTGACTGTCAGTTGCAAAAACAAGAGCCTCACTTCTGCTTTCCAGGAGATGGAGTTCATTTTGCATCTCGCTGGGATAAATACGAACCTGTATTTCTTTTTTTTTCTCTTCTGCAGAGGGTTTTGTTACGTTATCTGTTTAGACATTCCGTTATATGTTAGTAATGTGAATAATGACTATTCCGTGCTGCCGAGCTCTCCCTCTTGGCGCAGGAGCGGGGCGTCGGGAGACACCTGGCACTGTTGACAGAGCGCTGAACTCGAACGCCTTGCGCTGTGACAGGGCAAGCCCAAATATTTTGGGAAGAGCCCTTATTATGTTACTGCAGGGCCTGGTAGCTCCGTGCTGGGGACTCGCTCCGCATTAGCACTGCGCTGACTGCCGCCTGTTGTTGGGGGAGCGGCGTGAGCTCTGGTATGGCAGCTCTTGGGAAGGGGGGTTGGATTTGGGTGTTTCTGTCTGCAGGAAATTGGCTTTGGGTGTTTCTTTCTGTAGGCACTGAGGGCCTTCTTGAAGGCGCTGGGACTCAGGAAGACGACAGGATGGATGGATGCTGTGCTGTGGCTTGGGGAGAGAAAAGCTGAAGTTTTCCACAGGGAAAAAAGAAGTTAAGTGTAGTTCCTATTTGTAGATCAATATAAATACTTTCTTGAGCATTCAAGTACACTCTTAGACCTATTTTCTTCCATCAGCTGCAACCCATCTCTTCTGGTGTACTTCATGCAGCTTCTGCACAGCCTGCGTCCAGCTTGTGGTGGCTCAGATTAATTGCCTGTAGACTTTCAGTGAGATTGGATGTCTTCTGGTGTTTGCCAATTCATGTATAGCAGACAATTATATTCAGGAAGCGATGGGATTTAAATGGCATTAATTGCCATGAATATTCATTGAAGAATCACTACCAAATTCAGGCAGATGAATAGCCCAACTCAAATCCAATGGCCATTTATTTCACCCTCCCCAGGAGAAGGCAATATGCACTGCCTGGCAGCTGCGGGCACATGGCAGTAGGCTATGGAGTTGTCTCAGAGCAGTTCCTGATGCACTGGAGGTTGGACGGACACTTCAGGAGCAGAGAGAGCTGCTGTGGATCAGGGCAGCACACTGTTGCCCTGCTGCTGGGCTGAAAGCAAAGCCGCCCCATCCTGTGTCTCAGCACACAGAGCAGAGGGGGATGAATCCATCTGCAGCTCTGCTTCATGTAGACTGTACATCATGTAGATGATGTAAGATGATGGTTAAATTGAAAAATTATCTATTTCTGGCTGCAGTCCTCGTTTGGGTCATTTGTAACTTCCTGTAGTCAGACAAGCCAACTGAGACCTTAGCTGTGTTGCCTTCGCTCTATCTTTGTGTCCAGTTCCCCCAGCTGGGAAAGCAACTCCAGTTGGTGCAGCTGCTGCCGCCAGCACTGGGGTCAGCCAGTGCTTGTGGACAGAGGGCATGTCTGGGGCTTGTGGTTAAAGGCTGTTCTTTAAATGTTCCCTCTCACGGGAACTGTCAAGTCAACCCTTCCCATCCTTAACATTATCTGGGTAATGGAAATCTTGGTGTTCACTTTCATGTATGCGTAGCAGGTGCTGGGCAGAGCAGCACTTCCCACCTTTTCTAGAGGTAGCCATTGCCCAAACTCCAGACTCCAACTACAAAGGGAGAACCAGCACAATGCATTTCTCCTTTAAATGTACTTACCAGCTTCTGATGGGGCATGCAGCCTATAGCTCAACTTTCCTTGCCTGAAGCTCATGCAGGACCACGGCTCAGCACTGCATGGGCTGTGCACCCACCAGGAGCAGCACGGGGCTGGGAAACAGCCATGCAGTCATGTGCTACAGGGCCCCAGGACCTTGGGGCCTGGCTGCTGGGACAGCAGAGGTGTGGCATCACAGTAGCTTGGAAAACATTCTGACTTTAAACCAAGGAACGCCTATAATTACAGAGGCGTCATCACCTTCATCATGTTTTTTTCAGCTAACAAGCTGTAGTTGCGGCCTGTTTGCACCCCTGCCAAAATGTGCAGTGTTTGTTCCTGGGATGGTGGTGCTGGGGGTGGGAATATGGAGCATCCTTCTCCAGGCCCGTGTAAAACAATCCAGCAGTAAACAGTTCAGGTACAATTAGCAGTGATGTTGGCGGAGGGTGCAGTCCCACTGCTGTGGAATTAATCACATTTTACAGCGCTGACGTTACTGGTTTAGTTTTGTGAACTCACAAACAGCAGAGAGAGTTTCTGATAAACAGTGTTTATTCCAGGATGAAACGTACACCAAATCTCTCCCAGAACAGTATGGGGTGGGGGTGGGGGGAGCAGTGCTTTAGAAAAGTTATTTTAACGCAGTTATCTCCTTTCCTTTTTCTGCTGAAGAAACAGATGAACAAAAAAGCCTCAGCCCCGGCAGCTCAGAGTAACCCGCACTAGTGGGGTTAAAGCTGGGCCTTCCTTTCTGTTGCGCAGCTCCTGGGCGTCCGCTGGCCCGCAACGTGCGACTCAAACATCGCCTCCGCGACTCTTTATTTACAGCGATTTTCCCCAACGGCTCAAATGAGTGCCGGCACACCGCCCCTCCCGCACCCAGGTGCGCTGCGCGGCGCTCCCCGCTCCATGGGGCGCTGCTGCCGGGAGGTGGCGCCGCGGGTCCGGCCCCGAGAGCGGAGCGCGGCGGGGGGCGAACGGCTTCGCGCCCGGGGGGGACCTGCGGAGCTCCGCGCCCCGCGTAGCCGCCCTACGGAGCTACTGCCGCGGTACAGCGCATGGTGAGCTGTTCCCAGCCCCGGGAGCTTTGTGTCAGCCCCGCTGGAAGGCAGAACGCAAAAAAAAAACAACCAACCAAAAAACACACAAAAACCCCCAAACAAACCAACCAACAACAAGTATTCAATCCAAAAGAGGGGGAAGAAAATAGGTTCCGAACAGGTTCCCGCAGCCGCGAGGAAAGAATTTGTAGCGAACAAAGTCGGTAACTCGGGGCCGCCCGCTCACTGCAGCAGCCGCCGGCCCCGCTGCGGCTCCCCTCGCCCCCCGCATCCCGCCGCGTTGCTCTCGCCGGCTCTCCGCCGGGATCTGAAACTTTACGAGGCTGCTCTCAGCTTCCCTCCCCTCTCCGCGTCCACCCGGCGCCGTCCCGCGGGGCAGTGCGGGGACCCCGGCGCGGGATGCGCAACTCCCAGAAAGCAGCGCCGCGCTCGGCTCCCGCACTCCCGCTCGGCGGCCGGTGCGCGCCGCTGCGCACCCGCGCAATGCTGCTTGGGCGGGGGGGTTGGGGGGGTTGAGGCGCGCAGGCTGCGCCCGCTTTGCCGCTCCGTGCAGGTAAGGAGTTGAGGGAGGGATGCGCGGGTACCCGCGGGCCTAACCCCCCCCGGCCCTTCCCCCCCTTTAAGCCACCCGCGTAGCGTGCCGGGACTGCGCAGCGTGCGTATGGAGGGGAGGGTGGGGGGAACGAAAAGTTGCTGCGGGCCCGAGGATGCGGCGCTGCCCTGAGCCTGCCTCCGCGCAAAACACGCGCAGCGCTGCGCACCAGCGTCGTCTTCCCCGTGCGGTCGCCCTCTCCCCTTCGCCCCGCAAGTGATCGCATCCGAGCTCCGCAACCCCCACCCCGCTCTCATTATTATTATTATTATTATTCCTTCTCCCCCCCACCCCCCCATTTTTCCCCTGCACCGAGCCTTGTTTACCCAGCAGGTGGATGTGACGTCAGAGACTGACAACAGCAAAAAATAACAACATCTCCCTCCGCGGGGGTGGCGAGGGCCGCCCCCAGCCCGCCCGGAGCGAGCGGCGGCGCGGGACTGCGCGGGGCGGGGAGGGGGGGGCCGCGGGGCGGGGGCGCGGCGCGGGGCGGCGTGCGGGGCCCCGAGCGGAGCGGAGCGGAGGGCTCTATTGTTATTTACCGAGCGGCGGAGCACGCCGCCGCCGCGCCGCGCCGCCCGGGCTCGGCGTGCCGGAGGGACGGGAGGGAGGGACGGGACGGAGAGGCAGCCCCGAGCCGCTCCGCGCCGCCGCCCGCCCCGGGGCCGCGCCGTGCTGGGCAGGGGCCAGGCCGAGCGCTGCGGGTGAGTCCGCCGTCCCCCGACACTTTCCCCGCTCCTCCCGGGGCTGTTGCACTTCTTCCCCCGCCGCCGGTCCCACGTGTCTGCCCTCCCTCCCCCCCCCCCACCCCTTTACCGCCGGTACCGGGGGGGGGGGGAGGTGTGGCGGTGCGCACCCGCGGAGCCCCCTCCCCCGCCCCTGGGCCGCGCAGCCGCCCGCGCCCCCCGCCCGCCCACTTTGCAAACTTCCGCCCCCCCCACTCCAAAAAAACAAAACCCGGCCCCGCGCGGCGCGCGCCCTCCGCGCAGTGGAATGCGCCCCCCCCCGCCCCTCCGCGTTGTCTGCGCGCTTTTCGCCGGGTCCCCCCGCGCCGCCGCGCAAAGGGGCGCGCAAAGCCCAACTTCGGCGCTCAGGGCAAGAAGTTGCGGCGGGGCTGCCCCCCCTCCCGCGCCGGGCCCCGCTCCCCCTCGGCACCTGTTGCGGCTTTCCGCCCGCGCTTTGCCTTCCGCGGGCGCTCAGCTCCGCGCCGCGCATCCTCCCCCACTCCGCGTCTCTCGGGCCCGTTGTGCCCATCCCCCCCTTCTTTTTTTTTTTTTTTTTTTCCTCCCGGAGACGAAGTGTTTGAATAAACACCCGCTCCTCCTCAACCCAGCGCAACTCGGCGCTGCGCGGGTGCGGTGCGCGCATCCCTCTACCCCTCCGCGCAGCCTCAGCGCCGCGGAGCCGGGGACGCCCGGTAAGTAGCGGCTGTTCCGCCCCGCGCAGCGCCGCGCAGCCCTTCCTCGCCGGTGCGCGCTGCAGGCGGCGTCCGAGCGGCGTATCTGCGCCTCTCCCGCCCCCCCCCGCTGTCTCCCCCTTCCCCCCCCCACCTCCCCCTCCAAAAAAAAAAAAAAAAAAAAAAAAAAAAAGCCGCCCCAAGCCGCGGTCGGGCAGCGGGAGGGCTCAGCGCTGAGCGGGGCGCACCCCCCGCGGAACTATTGATGACTTATCGGCGGGCCCCGCGCGGAGAGGGCGGTGGAGCGCATCGACTGTAGCGAGCCTTTCTTCTGCCGCTTCGCATGCCATGATTTTAATCGCTTTGGCTGAATCAAACCGAGTGAGATTACTGCTTTTTTTTTTTTTTTTTTTTTTTTTTTTTTTTTTTTTTAAATCCCCTCTCCTCCTCTCCCTCCCTTCACCCCCCCCCCCCCCCGGGCCCCGCACCGCCCCGCACCGCCGCTTCTCTCCCGGAGCAGCGGCACGAGTTGCGCGCTCCGAAGTTGGAGGTTTCATTTTCAGTCTGCGCGGCTCCGGCCGTACCGAGGGCTGCGGGTCACCGCCGCTCTCTGAGCTGCGTCCTTCCCGTGCCGCTTTCCAAGCGGGTGCTTTACCTGCCGTGCCGTGCCGTTCGGGCCGGGCTCTCGCCGAGCCAAACTTTCGAGTCTGTCATCGAAGAAACTTGCCGCTCGTGCTGCTCTCTGTGATTTGCTTTAATTTAGGCGGAGGGAAGCGGGCGCTGCGCTCGGTTCTTATTTCTGCAGTTGGTGTCAGCGCTGAGCAGCCCGTGCTCGTGTAAGTTGGAGAGATCCCGAAAGCACCGAAGCAGGGAAGGAGGTGCTGTGCGTCTTTGCGACCAAATCTGGGGGAAAAGGGGGAAATCAGGGCTACCGGCTTCATTCCTCCGCTCCGAATCCCTTCCCTGCACTGTCTCCCCACCGGAGTGAATGGAGCGGGGCGCTGGGGGAGGAAGCTCCTCACTAGTCACCATTCAAAAGGTGCCGGCTAAAATCTCATTGCAAAAAGGTATGGTAGCTTTAACGTCTCGCATTGGCAGCATTCTTCCCCCTTAGTCTCTGGATTAGTCATTGTGTGTGAGACAGAAAGAAAAAGAAAATCACTTTTTTTTTTTTTTTTTTAAAAAAAAAAAGTAAAGTAAACAGCCTCCAACAAGTGAACCTTGACAACCCAGATTAAGGCAGGCAGGAAAGATCAAACGGAGCTGCTGCTGGGCTGTTGTCAGAGTCGCCTGGCTGGGAGCGCCGGGTGCTGCAGCGGGGCACAGCCGGGCCGTTAGCAGTGCTGCTCTTTGTTGGGAATCCATAGGGTAACGTGGAGGGAAATAACGCTGCCCTTCCCCGCAAGGCTGTCTGCTGCTCACGGCTTTGGTTGTGAAGTTAGGTCGGTGCACGGGAAGGGCTGGTTTTATTATTATTAAATTATTTTAATTTTTTTTTTTTGAGGCTTCCGTACACTTGGAGAGTGATGGAGGATTTGGTTCGGTTTGATTTCTGCCGCCTGGAGCTGCGGAGAAGGCGGCGTTTCCAGTAACACAGTGTTCAAAACAGCCTAAAAGTTCTGTGGAATTCAACCCTGATTTCTGCATCTCTGATTTGTAAGGAAACCCGGGCGTGTTTTTCTCGGCGTGTGAGCGGTTCTGGTGTGTGACAGAGGGGTTGGGTGGCGATGAGGCGTTGCACGCTGCGTGGCTGCAGCCCTGAGCGGTGGAAGGTGCAGCGCTGTTCCCGGAGCATTGCCCGGTGGCACATTTTGCAGTAGCTGTGTGCTGTGCTTGGTGCAGGGCGAGGTGTCACCTGGTGTCAGGGCTGCATCAGAAAGGTTCCATTGCTCTCTCGTTTTTTTAGTGAAATTTGTAGCCAGGGGTGTGAGGCGATCGCTGGTTTTGCTTCGATAAATGTTTCGGTGTGAGCGTTAATCAGATGTCAGCAGTGCAGTTCAGAGTTGTTTTTGATGCTTTCGTGTTTGCGTTCAGACAGCTCAGTGCAAACTCCACCAGCAAGCCCCTGTTTTGTTCCTGTTCTAAGTACTTCTGTTCTAAGTATCCTGAAACAATGGGGACAGCCATTGCAAGCGGGAGAAGGCTTTACCCCAGTGTGTGTGAGCAGGGCAGAGAGCAGAGCAGAGCAAGCGCGCATCCGTTGAAGAATGAAGAAACCCAAAACCTTTCCCCAGAAGTACTTCTTTAATTAGCAGTGCAGATCACACAATAAGTACTTTATGCTTTTATAAGGTAAGATTTCACAACCATCCTGCGTAACTTACAGAGCCGGTACTTTTTTATGGCGTATACTTTAATTAGACAATAAAACGTGCGTGTGTTAAACATGCACACGTATGCTGTGAAGCCGTTTGGGGCAACGCGGTGTTTTTTGCATGAACATTTCATGCCGCAGTCGGTGGCGGTGGCAAGGTGCTGCTTTGGGAGCAGGCAGGACGCTGGGCAGAGTGCTGAGCGTGAGGCATCGCTGCATGGCGTGGGCTGCAGCGCTGCTCCGTAGCAAAGGACCACCTTCTCTTAAGGGCTAACCTTTGTGTTCCCATCCACGATGCGCCTAGCTCCGGGATTATTCCTGTTTCACGGTATTGTAAAAAAAATTAGGGGAAAAGAGGTGGTAGTGGAAGGGTGGGTTATGGCGTGGGGCTCGGCATTCAGCGTTCTTAGTGCTTGTGGTCATGGACAGAGAGGGCTGGACCGGGTCGTGTGATTCCTTTGCAAAGGTATCTTTCCAGCGTGTATTTGTCTATGGAAGGAAATAACGTATGCACACACATATGTAGGAGATGCATGTAAAATACAGTTATTTCTGCAAGGCCATCCGGTTATTTATAGGACATAATGATACTTCTGTCATCTTAAATTTTCTCAGAGAAGCTTTAATAAATTTAAATAGATTATATGCTGTCAGGAAATAGTATAAATTTTGTTTACGATTCACTTGCTTTAAGGTACTTATACTAAAGAAGCTCATTTAACCCTCAGACTGAGCAGCATTAAGTGGTGAGAGGAGTCTGCCGGAGAGCTGCCGCTGCCCTTTGCTCTCGTGATAATCTTAAATTACAACAATTTAATTGCAACTTCAAGGCACCGAGCGGAGACGTTTCCTGCGGCTGAGGCAGGGCTGGGGGAGAGGCAGCAGAACGGGGCTCCTTGTGGTCAGGATTGCTCGTGGCTGGGATCCCTTGTAGCTGGGCTCCTCGCTGCTGTGCTCAGGCCTTGTGCCCCGCCGGCAGTGTCACAGCGGTGTCACAGCGGGAGTCCCCAGGTGGGGGCAGGATTGGGACTGCAGCAGCCTGGCACAGCTCTGGGTGCAGAGTTGTGCCTGAGTTGGGTTACGCTGTAGCAGGGGTTCGTTGGTGGGTAGCTGCAGAGCCCGGGGGCACGTTGGGTTCTGCAGCCCCAAGACCTGCTGTCGGGGGCTGTGTCCCAGCTCAGCTTGTCACAAGTCCCCCCGGCCCCGATATGTCCTCACACCCATGAGTGCTGCGGTGGGGGCACTGGGAGCCAGGCAGCATGTGCCAAAGGAGGTTGAGAAACGCTGCGTGCTGGAGCTCAGCAGCTTGTCTGCGGCTGTTCGCAAAGGTGCTGGCAGCAGAACTTTACCAAATGCTCACAAGGGCACAGAGGGGCTCACCGTTCTTGACTTTCTTGCCTTTGGAGACATACGTAGGTGCTTGGCTGTGCTCTGAGTCGCGATCCATATCGTGTTCCTCTTTACCACGTCCTCACCAGGTGGCTCCTTGCGGCCCTCGTGCCTCCTGGCGCTGCTCTCAGCTCACCCAGCACAGCCCTGTGGTCCCGCTGCAGCCGGTGTCAGGTGCTGCCACGGTGTGCATGGGAGAGAGGGAGCTGGGGTCGTTAGGGGAGCCAAGCTGGGGGAGCTCTGTAATCCTCTAATATAAAGAAAAGCCGTGTCTGGGGTTGAAAGGGAACTGTAAGCTGTTCTGTCTTTAGGAGCTTGGGCATCTGCTGATCAGGGTGCTTCAACTTGTGCTCGTTTCTGACTTCAGCGTGCAACCTACTCGGAGTCAGGGCACTGCTGGCTCTGCTGCAGCAAACGCGCTCTGAGGTTCTCTATTTCTCATCACCTGGCACCTGTCTCTTCCATCCATATGTGCAGTGGCCGTGCGTGAGTGGTAATGATCCCATGTAGCCCCGGTAACTTTTTGTTCAGCACCATCCTGAAAATGAAGATGTTGTTCTGTGGCAAATGAGAAAACAGAAGAGCAGAATGCATTTTTTTTCCCC